GAGAGCCACAGTAGGCAGGCTCTCCATGACAGTAGCATGGCAGAGAGTGGCACCTGCACCCTGCCAGGCACCTGCACCCATGCCACACCATGCACAGCCCCAGGCAAGTCCCCATTGGACCACAGCGACCTTCACCATTTCTCCCAGATACATAGGCAGAGGCAGGAGAAGAGTGTTTCCTCTCTTGGCCATGGGAACTGGTTACACAGAAATAATACATACATTTTAATTATATCTGAAATATACAGGAAGCACACAGCTTGGAGAATAAATACCACCAGGCCAGCTCTTGTGGAGAGCTCTATGACAGCTGGTGACCACAGTAGGGGTAGCAAAGCAAGATGAGGTGCTGTTTCCTGGGCTGGTTCAGAGGTTGCCAATGGAAGAGCAGAGCAGAATGAGGCGCCTGCCCGAGCTCTAGGGTGCAGTGGGAGGACCTGGCGATGTGGTCTCATCCCTGCTCTGTACAGTGACCAGCACGCTGACCTGCAGTGTGCCACAGCGGGAGTGTAACACCCAGGCACCCTGGTACACTGGCCCCAGCCCCATTGCCTGCCTGGGAGGAGGAGGAGGGAGGCGAAGGCTGAGCTGCTGGCAGCTTGTGGCATCACAGGTCATGCTTATGGTGCCTTCGGGGTTCCTGTAGGCACACTGCCCTGGAGCATGCTCCCCCAGGTCCCCATCCCATCCCTCCTCCGAGGGAACACCGGGTGCTCCCGGGCACTGCAGCTGCCTCTGGGGGACCTCCAGCAAGGACTGCCCCTGGAGAGCAGCTGGGCTGGCACAGGTGGCTTGTGCATGAGTGAGAGGCTCAGCAAAGCCCTGGAGCCAACCCAGGAGGTAGGCAAGGCGGCAGTCACAGGTCCAGGGGTTGCTGGCCAGCCCCACTCGCACCAGCTCCTCATTGGCATCAAAGAGCCCAGGAGGCAGGTGGGCCAGGCGGTTGTGGTCCAGCACCAGGGTAGTGAGGGCGGGCAGCCCGGCCAGCAGCCCAGCCGGCAGGCTGGAGAGGTTGTTGTGGCTCAGATGCAGAGTTGCCAGTCCCACCAGACCCTGGAAAACCCCGGCGGGGAGGAGGTCCATGGAGTTGTGCGACAACACCAGAGTCTGCAGCGCAGATAGGTTGGCAAAGAGTCGCAGGGGCAG